ATACGTGTTCTGATATCATGATGACAGCATCATACTGACTCCCTATTCCTCTTGTAATTGCTTTCCTCGGTCGCTGAGATTGATTTTTAGAGATTCGTATCTAAAATTAAAATTGAGTGTGCGGAAAAAGGTGAAGTTATTTTTTATGGTGCAATTTGGGAAGTAAAAAGTCTTTGAATATTTTTTGCTACGTGCAATTTATAGTTCGATCATCTAGGTGTTTTTATCCCAAGTAAATATTTCTATGGGATATATAGCAGGAACATCACCTTACATCATCAACATATTACATGGGACTCATAACATAAATAGTGAAAAGTGGGTGTTACATTGTATAGTGGCATTAAGTGCCGTAATGTGCAACTCAGCCTATCCCTTCCTAAAAGGCGTGATGTTATGTTATGTCATATTCTACGAGGACAAAGTTGCGGGTAACAACTAGTTATGATATAAACATAACTTTAATCACAACACCCTTGGTCATTAAGAGAGTCAGTAGGTAGTATAAACAAAACTGGCAACGACCATCTAACTCCCTACTTAACGAGGATTCGAACTTAAAACTTAATAAACTTTAAAGTAAAATGGAATAAAACTTTAGTTCAGATAATGATAGTAGGAGAAAATTTGGCATCGACCGAGAATCGTCTTAATTAAGCTAAAAGAACTAATTTAATGATAAGATCTATAAGAGGTAATTATAATTAAAAGGAAAAAAGCGATGTAGCGATGATTAATTTTGTTTTTTTAATTAAATATTAGATTGAGTTTGTAGGTACGGATGTTTAGAAAGTTAATAGCTTTAAAAATGTTAAGGACACTTTATTGAATACATTTTGAGGTATATTATGTATGAGTGAACGTCACGTCGTTCATTCGTAAGTTAAAGTAGTGAAGATACAAATTGTTTACTATTATATCATAAATACAAGTTGTTTACTATGGCTGTGTATGTCTATGTATCTTCAATACAATTTATTTACTATTTGTAACATGGGACTTTTTATGGGATAAGCAGGTAACCGAGCAGACAGATCACCTGATGGTAAGCAATAGGCGCCGCCCATGGACACCCGAAACACCAGAGGTGTTACAAGTGCGTTACCGGCTTTTTGGGGATTAGAAATTTGAGGAATATTGAGAATTCAGGGATTGGAGATGGGGAAGCGGGGGAGGGCGGGTAGTTGGGTACTCCAATAACCTCAATGACACAACAAAACACAATACAGGCGTTGTTTCACGTCGGTTTCCTGTGAGGTCGTGGTATCACTCCGGTCGAGCCGGCTCATTCGTGCCGAAGCACAGCTTCCACACTTAAATGATTGACATGTAAAACATATGAAATGATTTTGTTTATTATTGTTTTATCAGTAGCCATTATGTTTTTGAGATTAGCATCCAAGTTACCACAACTTAGATGGACTTACCGTACGAAAAAAGTCTATGTAATTTCACCCCTTTACGCAGGACATTGCATTCATACAGAAAGCAACGGTTACATCGACCCACGTACCCAAACAGACTCATAAACTTCCGAAGCATATCTGCATTGCTAATGGGAGCCTATCAGTCCGCCAATTGGAAGGATTAACACGAAAACAGTTCGACCGAAATCTGCCCATTCGTATTCCTTGTACCACTATTCTCTGGAGCATCGAAGTTCGGAATTTCTAGGCCCAATTAATGAGGCGATTAAAGTCAAATTTGAGTTTAAGACGAGACAGGCCAATTTGGACGTATACAGATCTATGCGGTAAGTAGATTTGGGTTTATCACGGTTTTGAGGATTAGGAAGTATTTGAATATTGCCTCTGCCTACCTATATATAAATTAACCATATGTCTGTTTGTCTGCTTGTTTTATAGATTAATTATTGAATTGTATTGTAAACCTGATTGAAAAAGAGTAACCTATGGAGTTTCTTGCTCGTTCTTCTCCATAGGAATCTACGCCTTGGAATGAGCAACTAGCTTCACTTATAAATTTTGTTGTTTGACGTTCAAAAGTGCCATCCTGGGCCTTTAGCCAAACGCCACTTTAGCGCTTGTCTACAGAGAGAGTAGAAATCAAAATGTATGGGGATGACACTGACAAGTGTCAACATTTACGTCAATTCCATATAATTTGGTTTTCTACTCTACAAGTAGACAAGCGCTAAATGGCATTTGGCTACAGCTGCTGGTCTAATTGAAATAAATGATTTTGACTTTGACTTTGACTTTGAATTTAGCTAAACATTTCGCTACAAAGCTCAAAGTCGCTCAGCGTGCGATGGAGACAGCTTTGTTCGTAGTTGTTTTGCGCGACAAAATCCGAAATGAGGAAATTCGCCAAAGAACTAGAGTTACCGACATAGATGGGCCAGGAAAGTCCTTGAGATGAGACCTATGTGTAAAGTTCTAATTCTATGCGAACGATGTTATGTAATAAATTATTTCCTAGCATATTTATTTAAGACCTAAGCTTCAAAACAAACAATTATAATTAAATTGAGTTTGTAATTAAATGGTTCAAATTTCAGTTCATTAGTAAATAGTATTAGTTTGATTTAATGAGATGATTGAGCTAAATTGGAGTGCGCAACTCCGCAGTACGGTTACAAAATATTGATACAAATTACCTATGTAAATAGTTTCAGCAATTACGTAATGTAAATATCTATTCAGGCTTCAAATTTGAATAATTTTACATTTTAAACAATGTGTTCAAATCTATTATTATTTTTTTTTAAATAACGTTTCCCCACAGTAGGATTTTCTCCTGTGCTGTGGGTGCGTTAACAAACACTCAAGTTCACATTCACATCACACCCAGACCCGGAACAACAATTTGTGGATCACACAAAGAGTTGCTTCGTGCGAGAATCGAACCCGCGACACGTTGCATGGCAGCCAGTTGCCCAGCCACCGCACTAACTGTGTTGTTAATTGTATTTATCACCAACGGTTTGCCTGTATACCTATATTATTGAACTTTTTCGATTTTTGAACATTTCCAGCGGCTAAGGTTAAGGACTCACGGTGGGATTTTCACCCGCGCTCGCCGCGGTCTGCAGCCTTTGTAAAATACAGACATGTATGTAAAAAATTAAACTAATTTTCACGACGCATTTCACGTCCGCGGTGGTTGCGATTTTTGCGGCTCCCGCTGCAATAGCGGGCTCGGGAGAAAATCGTGCCGTGAATCCTTAGCCTTACGGTGCTCAATACTGGGCCTGGTATATTTTAGTAAGTTCATCCTTCTTGCATAGGTTTTCTTGTAATAATATAACTGGTGTGAAACTACATTTGGTGTGGGTGCTTTGAACTCTTATGGAAATTAATAGTTAAGTGTCTTATACAGGAATTAGTGTTACTACAATCCCTTAAAAAAGGACAAAACTAAGAAAACTTGAGTTTCTGACTTTTCCCTCTGCTTATCTCCTTACTTCTTTAGGGAATAACATACGTGACGTCATTGGTTGATTGCCGTCAGTTGACCGAAGTTCAGTCTCAGTCCCAGTTTGAATTAAGTTCCATTCAGTTCGAATTCGAAGTTAGTTGGTTTCTATGATATGAAGCTAGTTTAACGTGTATTAAAAGGATATTTTAGGGTATTATTTGTAAGAAGAAAAATGTAAGCAATTTTAGTAGAACTTTTAAGCAATTATTCCTTCAGCATCTTTAGTTAATTTTGTTAAAATAGAAAAGAAATATACAGTTGAATAGATCGAATATAAAAAAAATCTATTTTCTTGTCGCTTAATACGAGCTTATCAAAATTAAGCTTTACCATTCAAAACACACAACGCAATTTTGCACGCAACAGAAATTTTCGCTCGGAATATTATAGAACAAATAATATTTTGACCTTTCTATTCGCAAATTAACTTATTCCATCCGATTGAATCTAATACAATTGTCTTGACTTACTGAAATAATTAATTGCAAGATGGCTGAAGGTGAAAAGGCGATGGAAAATTTTCGAACCTTGTCTTTGACTACTAATGGTTAATAATCATCTATTAATAAGATCATATTTTTATTTGTTGACAGACATAGAATCCTGGGTAGCTATTAAAAAAAAATTAACTAGATCTAATAAAGCCTCGCGAGACGATCTCTGGCTACCGTAAGCACAGGCCTGCGTACGGTGAGCATGGGTAGCTCGCCGCCGACCAGAACCAGACCCAAGCGTGCGGCGCGTCGCGTTCCGCGCGCGCCTCAAAAAGCCATCAGACCACCACGGATGGGCCCAAATAGCGCTGATGCCAATACGGAACCGCAGAGAACGTAGGTTACCGGGGCTACAGCTCGAAGTGCAGGAGTAGGAACGGGGTGGTTTTTGTCAGTAAGAGTCTGACGTCCCTGGATAATTTTCCCCCTTCAAAAAAAGACCTACTAAAGCCTAACAGGGTTCTGGTAACTCAAACTTTCAAGACTGTTGTGATTTATAGGAAAACATGCCATATGTACGTATGTATAAAGAATAGAATAGGTTACATTATGTAAGTGTACATGTGTTCATAAGAAAAGAAAGAAGAAGTTTCCAAATTTCTATTCACCCACACAATCGTCTACTTATATTGATAAGAAAAGTTTCGATTATCCCACTAAGTTCATCGATTTGGTTCAGCTACAGCAGATTGTTATTACCTGTTTCTTTCTTTTGGTTCACGAAAAATACTTACTAGTTTAGAGTTTTCCTAAATGAAGTTTGGTATCTATTTATCTAAAAATAATGTCCAGTAACTTTATGTTGAAATTATATGTTTTTATACTTTATGCCGTAAAAATAGCTTCTCATTTGCAACTGTTGCTGAGATTTTACTTAGTTCTAATACACATTTTGAATTTAACTTTTCACGTCAAACTTATTCTCACCAAGCTAACAACTAGTAAAAACAGCTTGTTAAAAGTCAACTTTTATCACCACTGTATGCACATAAAAATGAATCGTGTCATATAACTTTGTGGACCGTAAAATAAGTTATAATAAAGTTTAAACTTGTTTGCACCCACCTGCAAATTGACGTACGGCGCGTCAGCCATGACGGTCGGGACTATGAATCCTCCTTCGCCGGTCGACATGTCGATGTCCTGACTATAGATATCGGTTTTGTCGTCGTACAGCTTCACACGGACTCGCACTCGTTTCTCCGTACTCATTGCCTCGACCTGTTGAAACAAAGGAAATATTTTTAATTATAAAACAAAAGTATTGAAAAAAAACTAGTAATTTTCTCAGAACGAATGAGAATTAACATATAAGGTGGTGTCAGGAAATAAAGGTATGTATATGTTAAGTCACAATATTACAGTTCTATTTTTGGAAAATCTCGTTCTCATTTGTCATAATACTGCGTAAACGTAATTTTTACTCAATAAAAGCATAAGTATGGACTCGTCTTTTCGTCCAATAGAGACTTAGCTCAATCTCATCTCATTAAAAATTTTACTAGTAACACAAAGCATTCATTTCAAAACTATACCTATATTTGTCGTATTTGCTACTTACACATGCTCCAAAATATAATACATCACCGACACACCACATTTATCTCTAACACCAATCCGAATGTACACCCTACCCCACAATGAGAGCGATATTGTGACGTCAACTTAAGTCTTAATTAAGCCATTAAGTTTACGAATCCAACCTGGCTTTACTCCAAAACCTGTGCCGACAGGGGTACAGATATGAAATACTGAGATAATTATGTAAACATGATTAATATTTGTTAAGCAAATTGTATAAGAGCAACTGAGACTGTTTTTGTTTTTTATTAATGTTTTGTAATTAAGAAAGTGAGTCGTAAAAATTCTTTGTGTTACATATTCATTAGTGTTTTGTGAAAATTTGTCGTTTTGGTTGTGTCGTTTTTAACTTATCTGTTAGTAGAGTAGGTACTTAGCGTAGTAAGCAATTAAAAAAAACATGAGCTGCGCGACGTCGCCGCGACCGCGCACGCTGCTCATGAGGAAGAACCCCTCTGTGGTTCGAAACTAGTAGAGCTTTTCTCAGTATATTCACGTGAGTATAGAATTGGTTTTAGAAAAATTTAAGTATGATATTATTTGTATAACTGAACATTGGCTGAAGGACTATCAAGTAGAATCTATTCATTTTGAAAACTATTGTGTTGGCGGCTGTTATAATCGTCAAACAATGATACATGGTGGTAGCCTGATCTTAGTAAAAAATTCAGTAAACTATAAGGTAAGACAGGATATTGCATTACTATCAATAGAACACACAATTGAGTTGTCCTGTGTTGAGCTGGATAGGTATATTGTAGTATGTGTTTATAGGCCTCCTAACTTGCAGAATCTGAATTCTTTTAGTTCAGTAATGGAAGATGTATTGCAAAAAACGTGCTCCAATAGTAAATATACCATAGTATGTGGCGATTTTAATATTGATCTCTTGGAAAGAAATTCTAATTGTACTAACCTGTTAAGCCTCTTTAGATCTTTTGATTTGTCTAATGTTTTCCTGGAACCCAGCCGAGTAACTTCCACCTCGGCAACATGTATAGATAATGTTTTTTGTAACTGTGATTATTTACATAAAGACATTGTAAATATATTACCATCTGATCACAGTGGGCTAACAGTAAATTTTGACACTATCCCAACTATACAAAAAAGGGAAATTATGTTCAGACAAATCACAGTTAAAAAAATTGAGTCATTTAATAACAACTTAAGTAATGAATTATGCGGCCAAATATGTGATAGTGAATACCCAAGTGAGATTTATGCCAACTTATTGTCCATTATTAAAACACAGTTTGATAAAATGTTCCCTTTAAAACGTAAAAACATTAAATGTAAATTTGTATTCTGTGACTGGGCTACACCAGGTATTCGTAAAAGTAGGGGAAAGTTGTTTGAGCTTTATGGTATGAAACCATTTAATAATAGTGAGACTTTTCACAGCTATGTCTCCAGATACTCAAAAATATTCAAATTAGTTTGTAAACATGCAAAAGCCCTTCATATTAGCAGCAAAATTAGGACCGCGGAAAACAAAATAAAGACTACTTGGAATATAATTAATAACGAGACAGGTAGAAATAAATCACGTAACGCTGAATTTAATTTAAATACCGAAAATGGACGCATCAGTACAAATTCCAAAGTTGCCCAGGAATTTGAAAATTTCTTTAAAAACATACCGCTTAAAACTACAGAAGCGTTGAAATCATCTCCAACTCTTTCAGTGGAGCTTCTTAAAAGTAATGTTAAAGAATGCCCTTCTGTTTTTCGGTTTCAATACACAAACCCCCAAGCAGTCATTAAAGCGTTTAAAGATATCAAAGTTAAGTCGACTGAAGATCTCTGGGGAATGTCGGTTAGGGTGTGTAGGGCTTTTATAGAGACTATAGCGCCTCATTTAGCTTTCATTTTTAATAAAAGCATAGATCAAGGGGTTTTTCCGGATTTGATGAAGCACAGTAAAGTAGTTCCATTGTTTAAATCCGGTGATAGCGCGGAACCCAATAACTATAGGCCGGTTTCTATTTTACCAGTGCTTAGTAAAGTGTTTGAGAGACTGATGCTTGTTCAGATGCTGCGCCACTTCAACACGAATTCTATCTTTCATGATCAACAATACGGGTTCACCAAGGGGCGCTGCACTACTGACGCAGGAGTAGCTTTGATAAAACGTGTTGTTGCCTCATGGGAAGAAGCACAGGATGCAATTGGAATATTCTGTGATCTTTCGAAGGCATTTGACTGTGTTGACCACGAAACGCTTTTGCTGAAGCTGGAACACTACGGCATTAGAGGGGTATCGCTAAATCTATTAAAGTCATACCTTCGGGATAGGCAACTTAAGGTGCAAGTAAATAAGGTAAACTCACAGGGTGCTAGCATATCTATGGGTGTACCGCAGGGCTCAATACTAGGCCCTTTCCTATTTTTGGCTTATATAAATGACTTGCCGCATTTATTCCGGAATGAACCACAGATGGTATTATTTGCTGATGACACATCACTGGTTTTTAAAATAAATAGACGTACAAATAATTATGACGATGTAAATAGTGCTCTGATGAAGGTTCAAAACTGGTTTACAATAAATAATTTAGTGCTGAATGATAAAAAGACAAAATGCATTAGATTTGTTTTGCCAAACGTTAAAAATAACGAATGTGACATATTACTGAATAGTGAGAAATTGGAATTTGTAAAAGAAACTATTTTCCTGGGAATTACTGTAGACGACAAATTACAATGGGGTCCTCATATTACATCTCTAGCGGGACGATTAAGCTCTGCAGCTTATGCTGTCTGGAAAATCCGTCAGTTAACCGATATAGACACGGCAAGACTGGTGTACTTCAGTTACTTCCATAGCATCATGTCGTATGGCATTCTGCTGTGGGGACACGCTGCTGACATTGAGTCTATCTTTATCTTGCAGAAGCGCGCCGTCAGAGCTATATACAACCTAGGTCGTCGCGAATCTCTCAGAGAAAGGTTTAGGGAGATCAATATTATGACCGTTCCATGTCAATTTATTTATGAAAATATTATGTATGTTAGGAAAAACCTACATTTATTTAGTAAAGTGTCTGACAGACACAATTATGAAACTAGACATAAGAATAGATTAAGTCCGCCATTTTTTAGATTGTCAAAAGTACATAAGTCGTTCATGGGATTCGGTGTTAAATGTTATAACAAAATCCCCCAAGAAATACTGCATCTAAATGAAAGAAAATTTAAACTATGTATTAAAAAAACGTTATGTAGACAAGCATACTACAAACTAAATGATTATATAGAGGATAAAAGTGCTTGGAGGCAGGCTGGTCCGGCTCCGCAGGATAATACATGAAACACAGTGATGTTCAATGAATTCTATTGTGTAATAATATAATCATGTTGCTTAAATATTTGTATAGTTTAAAACTTTGCACAATCTATTGTAAATGTGAGAGCCCTGTAATTAATTCAATCAAATTAGACTAGTAGATTGCATTTATGTCAGCTTGGAGTTGTCATGCTCACTCAAAGATCTCGTTGGCGGTGGCACGTGCAGTGGATCGCTCGATTCCCTACAAAATGGTTGAGTTGGGCGGTGCTAGGTTCGCAAAATGTTCGGAACGGGCACCGTCGATTGGAACTGGTCAGCTCCAGACTGTATCTTTTTATTTTATTATCCTCAAGGTTATTTTCTTTTTCAGTCTTTCTGACTGGATTTAGGTGTTGCATTGTTCTCACATAATCGAACCAATAAAACTATGTTACTAGAGAATTGTATTGTAAACCTGATTGAAAAAGAGTAACCTATGGAGTTTCTTGCTCGTTCTTCTCCATAGGAATCTACGCCTTGGAATGAGCAACTAGCTTCACTTATAAATTTTTGTTGTTTGACGTTCAAAAGTGCCATCCTGGTCTAATTGAAATAAATGATTTTGACTTTGACTTTGACTTTGACTTTGAGTAACCCGCGATTTTACTTAATTTAGTATGTCTCACGATAGTTATTATAAAAAAAATATTTAAGAAAAAACAGTTTTTGAAGTACGAAGTAACCAAGAATTCTCGATCTAGCCTACCGTTCGTCTTCTTGCATTGTTTTTTTTTCTTTCAATTAAAATATTTTATACAATTTATTTACTTCAATCATGGCAGTATATTCTTTCAAACAATTTTTGTTTCTGTCTTCACAAAGGAAATGTCAACCGCCATGACAGTTTATTGAAAAAATAAAAAAATTAAATGAATACCAGGAGTTTTGCTTCTGTAGCAGAGTAAACTGGACTTCAAAGTGGGCGAGGATATATTTTTTATTTTATTAAATGCGAAGTTCGAATAAAGATCTATTTTATTAAATAGATTTTTTTGAAAAAACGTTGATGTGGGACTGGAGTCTGCAGAAGACCTGCAGGCTTCAAGTTGATAGGCTTGTACTTCTGGCAGACGTCATGATGTCTAGGCGCATTTCTTATGGCACGACAAACTGCGGCTCTTCGGACTCTCCATCCTTGTCGAAGCGGAACAACACTCCATTGGACAGGTAAACCACGATTCGTCCAACGCATAGCAGTATCTCCATCTCCAAAGTCGTCTAGTATCTTCTTGATATCCGGATCTCCCAATTGAGCTGCCTTCAATTCCTCCGGATTGCGATGAGGTAAATCTATAGATACCGAACACAG